CTTGGTCATATCTACCTGGAACTACCCTTTCTGTAAGTTTTTTTTTTCTTTCTGTTTTAACTTAATATATTATTATTTTTATTTAATGCTTAGTATATTCCCTAATTAATCATTCTTCTTTCTTTTGGTAATTTACATCAATTTAGTTTTACATGTCTTCTGCACACTCACTCCTTTTCACTCAGTTTAAATAAATAAAATATAGTCACATCATATCTTGTTTGCCACTTGATATTTGAACTGTTATATAATCTTTTTTATTTTGTGTGTTAATATTATTGAATTTTGAAGCATAGTAATGTTTCCTTAATCCATTCTTCTTTTATCACATCGATTTTATTGAACTGAGATGATAAGGAACATGCTTGTATGAATATATCTGATTTGTTTATGCCTGTATGTAGATATATGCATGAAAGCGTACGGGGTATGTCCTTTTGATTGTTTTCTAAAGTTGTACCATTGCCTTAGAAACTTCCTCTTTCTTTTGTCACTGATTCTACAAGTCGATGTAAGCAGGCTTAGCTTTAGCCATGTGGGTTTTCGATATGTATGTTTTAAATAGATACCTGTAATGACACTGCGACGTGATATGCGCTGTACTTGTTCCACATTGTTTGTCTTCATGATAGATTTTACTGCCTTATTTAGGAAAATTTACAATCTAAGGTGCTACTAAGCCTTGGCGTATGGAATTGTTCTAAAACAAAGACATTGTTTCGATAGATTTTTATAGCAATAAAATATGATAAATGGCTTCTTTGTTTCATTCAGGGTTTCAAATAGCGGTCGACTAACGTTATAGTAGCCGCTATTTCACAGTCGCGTCACCGTCCGAAATTGATATTGTTCGAAATAGCGGTGTGAACACGAAATCACACTAATAGCAGTCATAAGTTAACGGGTAATGGCTGACCGTGACGATAACAGCCCACTATTCACGTTATTTTCTGTTACACCAAAGCAGTCCATTAAAACGGGTTCAAAAGATAAAAAAGAGAGGGGGATTCGAACAAAAAAAAGGGTGAATCGAAACAAAAAAATGAAAAAAAGGATAGGAGATTAGCGTTATTTCACCGTTACTGTGAAAAAAACTTAAGATTTTTTTTTTTTGAATTCATCGTCGCCAAGCCTCGTTTTCCCCTTTATTTTCGAATTTCTGTTTTTGATACATAAATGTTGAGATTCAAAAAAAAAAAAAAATAGAAAAGTAAAAAAGGAAGAATGAAACACTTCACCTGTTTTGTTAGTCTTGTTAGAGTGGAATCACTGGAATCGGAGAATGAAATCTTCGTCATACTGGAAATCATTAGAATCGGAGAAAGAAAGCTTCTTTTAACTTGAGTCTCTCTTTTAGGCTTGAACAGGTAATGATTTTTGAGTTTTTTAGTTATTGGAGAAGAAAGCATGAAGAAACAGAGAGAAAGGAAAGAACAGAGGGATGGAGTTGCTGGGGGAGGAGTTTAGAATTAAAATATTTTAGGGTTTATTTGGCTTAAAACATAATCCACACACATTTTTATTTCTGATTTTTAATTTTTAAGGAATATATTAATTTGTCACCCTACTACTTTTTAGAATTTATAATTTAATTCTTAGTTTGAAATATAAATTTTAAATTTAATTTAATTTAATTTTAATTTCAGTCATTTAAATAATAATTTAAGCACAATGTTATTATTAATTAATTATCTTATCTATTACTGGGTTTTAAAATATTCTATTTAGTTAAACAATAGATATATTATTTTCACTTAGAAAACATTCAAAAAGTTAATAAAAATAATTTCTTATAATTATAATTATTATATTTTAGTGCAAGTTGTGCAAATTTAAAATAATTCACGAACAAGGCAACTGCAATAATCTTAATGACATTCGTTATGTCCGTAATCGCGATAAATACGACGCGAATGCTATTTACATCTATGGTTTCATTACTATCATCTCTTATATTCTGCGAACTGAAATGTCTGCTGGTTCATTCCAGCATTGTCTCTTGAGCCGGTAATCGGAGCTATTGCTGCTGGTAACGCTGTGGTCCTCAAACCATCAGAAATTGCTCCAGCCACATCATTGCTGCTTTCGAGGTTACTAGGGGAATACATGGACCAATATTGTCGAGGGTGCTGTTGCTGAGACCTCGGCATTATTAGAACAGAAGTGGGATAAGATCTTTTTTACAGGTTTAACCTATATTCTTCATATTTCTTAATATCTCTAACTTAGATGCCTTCATTAAATATTTTTAGTCTTACTTAGACATAGTCTACTACTGTTTATATCGCATTAACTGTCGAATACAAGTTTGTAATTTTTCATAGTTAAATGAATTCGTAGCAATAAAATCTTAAAAGTACAGATACCTTTATATTTCAGATGGAGCAAGAGTTGGGCACATTGTGATGGCCGCAGCAGCTAAGAACCTTACACCAGTAACTCTTGAACTTGGTGGAAAGTGCCCAGCTGTTGTTGAGTCCAATTACAAGTGAGATTAGCTCTTGTTTACCTCGAGTTAATAATTCATATTCATTTTGTTCAATCGGTCTGATTTTGTCGATTTTAAGGGTACGTCAAAGAGGATTGTAGCTGGCAAGTGGGTATGCAACAACGGACAAGTTTGTATCGGTGTTGATTACATCATAACAACAAAAGAATTTGCACCAAGTTTGTAAGACTTTGCCAAAGGAGTAAAATTCACGTTAAGGTCATGGTCTTGAAACATAATTGAATCTACGGATAGAAGCTCTAGTGAGTGCAGTGGAGGAGAAATTTGGAAAAGATCCAATGGAGTCAAAGGAACGATCCCGCATTATAAACTTGTTCCACTTCTCGCGTCTAGTAAATCTCTTGGATGAGGATAAGGTCTCTGACAAAATCGTTTTCGGAGGCCAGAGGGATGAGAGCCAATTGTGAGTTTGATAATTGCCACCTCGTTATTATGTTTACCAATCTACTGCGTAATGACCGTGTAATAATCACCTTTATAATGCAGACAAATAGCTCCAACGATATTGTTGGACGTTCCTGAGGACTCGTTGATAATGCAAGAAGAAATATTCGAACCATTACTTCCAATAATGACTGAGTTTCTGTTTCTTTAGTCTTTGTTTTCTCAATTTAATGTGATTTCCGAGGCAAGTTGTTAAGCATTTTTGACATCGAATGCATGTTCCATGCAAGATAGAATTTCTTTTCGTTTCGTTTTTTTCAACCGACTTTTTGTCCTTGCTGTTACAGGTTGAAAGGTTGGAAGATAGCTTTGCCATGATAAACCAAAAGCCGAAACCTCTTGCCTCATATCTCTTCAGTGATGATGAACAGATCAAAAGGGAGTTTGTGCAAAATGTATATGCTGGAGGAATGGCTATTAATGAAACCATTCTACAAGTATTTCGGCTCTCGATCAGTTGAATTTCATATGCAAAACCCATATGTGCATCTTCTCACTATCATCTATTATCCTGTCAAGCATGAGATATGGATCCATGATGAATTCATTCTCAAGTTTAATGATTGGCGTTCGCATCAGATCTTCCTTAGTGAAGTAATAGGAAAACCAACAGCACACACTATCCGATTATTGGCTTTTTGTCGGCTGAAGTGGCTTGATGATTACTGCATGATGTTAGTGTTTCTGCATCGACTCAAATGTCAATGGACATCAAAGTGCATCATTTGGTTACAACAAATATATTTCAACTAGTTAAATCCGATTCCTTGTTCATGGCAATCGTTGCAGGTCACGGTTCCGAGTCTACCTGTCGGAGGAGTCGGGGAGAGTGGAATGGGCACATACGATGGGAAATTCTCTTTTGATACTTTTAGCCATAAGAAGGCGGTTTTATACAGAAGTTTTTCCGGGGAATCTCCGACTAGGTACCCGCCTTACACGCCGGAAAAACAAAAGCAAACAAAAGCAAATCAAAGCCTTAGTGGCAACATATTTAAAATTACTCTTGCTTTACTCGGATGGTTTAAAGACCGAGTCAATGCACACACATTCGCTGGGTGATACAAGTAAATACCAATAAAATAAAAGTGATGAATGCTAATAAGCTTACTTTATGAGTATTTAAAATTGATGACTATTTCGATATGTTTATTATTGTTTCCATTCATTTTTTGTTTTACTTTTACGTATTCATTTTTTGTAATATAATTACTATTATTTGTGTTTTATTTATTTTTAATAATATTAAAGTGAACGACGTTATTGGACTTTAGAGACAAAAGCTTCTCCTTTAGCCAACGTTTTAAGAACTGAGCCATCAGTTTCTGGTTTAATTGGTCTAATGGGTCCGATAATTCCTCCAACTGGTTCACTGTTTAAAGAAAAAGGCCTATATCACAAGTGTTTAAAGTATTATCATTTTTTTCATTAAAATATCTAAAGTATTTTTTTTATCAAAATAGGTACTCAAAGTTATATTTTTTTGTCAAAATAGATACATAAAGTACTCAATTATGTTTATTTTGACTATGGGTATTTTTGTTTTGAGAGATCACAATTAGGTTTTAATATGTGGTTATTACTTATATAAAAATGTATCTGTCGCTAAATGTGCGTATGACATTTCAGGATGTTAGTTAGAGCTATGCCAATGTAGTTTAAAACTGTGATTTTTTATTCTAAATCGCAAGGCTTAATATAAACTCATCATATATATGCCTATCCATTCTTAATAATATATGTATAATGTTGTATTTTAAAAATCATATTTTTAAGACTAATTATTTTTCAAAAACTAATCAAGGATAAAATTGAATGCACCGTAGATTATTTTTTAATTATTTTTGTATATATACTAATAACAATAATAAAATTTTGACTATTTTTAAAATAAAATAAGACCATGATTTGTTAACCGGATAAATATTTTTATTTTATACACTTCATATAATAATTAAATAATTAATGAAAGTTACAATTTTAAAAAATTGAATAAATTTTATATATATAAAATCTACCATTCCATCTATAATTATTTCTAATAGAATTTGAGTCTACGTTAATTAAAATGACTCGGGTAGATACATGAACATGTCCCGTAATGGTGACAGCTGCCCCATCTGGTACTCAACTTGATCCGCAAATGGTCCGTCGTCTATGAAATCCAACTCAAAATCAAGCCCATTCCACTTGGTTTGACTCTCACCCTCCTTCTCCCACGTGATTCCCGGCGACGGCAAGTGCTCCGAGGAACTCGACACCGAACCATCCATTTGTACAATGACATCATTCTTCATGGACATCGCCCAAGGTGGTGGTCCCATGTTTCGAATGTCCGGTTTCTCGTCTTCCATCTCTGGGTAAGAGCAACTCAACGATTTTTCTTCTCTCGGAAAATGCTTCTCTATACTCCCTTTCTTGTTGTAAATTCGGCATAACACCCAATCATCAAGCTGTAATAAAAATAAAATACCTTTTAGAAGCTGACACTGTTGCAGTAGCAAATTATAATTACGGTGTTACATATATAAATGTTACCGTATAATTTAGTTTAAAAATAATTATATTTATATTTTACATTATAACGTGATGATAATCTTAATTTTTTTTATTAGGATGCAATGGTTACGTTGTGTTGTAATTATAATTTAATATTATAATTACTGTGAACTATCAAAGTTGGCAACTATGGAAAAATAATAACAAATAATAAAATGTGGACTTACCCTCAAGTTGTTGTTGTTCTTGCCGGCGGACCTATCAACATTGGCCAACCGATATTCGTGCATGATCCAGTTGGTTTTGACGCCGGTTGGAGCTTTGCCGGAGTAGAAAACGAGTGCCTTTTTTATACCGAGTGTCTTGGGCTTTCCGATGGGTTTATCGGCTCCGGTCGCCTTCCAATACCCACTTCCGGCCGCCCTGTTCGGCCGACATCCGTTGGGGTATTTTCGGTCTCTTGGAGAGAAGAAATACCACTCTTTTTCACCGTACAACGCCATATCTAAAACCAGACATATATGAAGTTAATTAATTAATCAGTTTCCTGGAAATCTAAACCCAGGCCAGAGAAACCGAAGCATAATGACTAACCTGGAAGCTGCCAAGGATCAAACTTGTAAAGATCGATCTCGGCAATGATAGGGACGGAAATAGGCAGAGATGCACATTTCCGACACAAATAATGGTTCACCAACTCATCATCAGTAGGGTGGAATCTGAAACCCGGTGGCAACTCTAATTCTCCCTTCATGCTCTCTCTTCTTTAACTTAGCTTCTTTTTCTTGAGCTTCTCTTCAAAAGGAGCGATGAACCTTTTCTTCCTAGCTGGGTTTTCTTTAAAGGGATATGAATTCTTCTTTGGTGCTTGTAGTATCTGGTATTTAGTTGCGTTGGGTTGAATTGAAACGCAGAGAATGAGTGAGAGCAGAGGTTTTATAGGGGGAAAACACGTGTGGGTGTCGGCTGTGCAGCATAAGGTTGTCGTTTTGTAGGTGACGCAGCCCTTTAACTTTAGAGTGGGGTGTGGACCAATGAGGGCTTTAGGTTTGTGTCATGGCTTTCGTCACATACCATGGGGACTGGAATGGCCAGGAAACCACCTTTCCTATACTCTTCAGCTTCGTTGACCGTCGTTTGACGTGACTGAATATGTGAGTATGGGTGGATAAAATTTGACTTAGATTCGAAAAAATTAATCTTTTTATTAAATTTAATGTCACCAATTCTTATATACTCATCTCTAAATAAAAGTAATTTTTTTTCTTACCTGGCACTGTCAGTCGACCTACTTTGACCCACCACTCAAAGCCCCAAGTTATTAATTAACTTGGAATTTAATTCATCAGTTTTCCAGTTTGTTCATTATATACTGTTAAATATAAAAGGTATTTAATTATGATTTTTATTTTTATATTTTTAATATGATTATTGATATTTAATTTATTAGTTTATTAATATAAAACCAATTCATTATATTTATGATATTCAAATTTTAATATTAAACATTACTTAGAAAATCTAACCATTCATTTAATTAAACTTATTTATACTTAATTCACTCATATATTATATTTGATATTATAATTTAATTTTTTTTACTAATATCATGTCTGAAACAATGGTCAAAAGTGTAACCGTGTGGGTTGTTCAATAAATAATACCTTCCCCAGCCTTTCATAACCTGAATACATCTCGATGCAATATAAATATATATACACTCTAGAAATTTTGCTGGCGCTTCGCCAAATGCAAAAGTTTTTTATTTAAATATTTTGACTTTGAATAAAAAATAATCTTCAAACAATAAATTTTAAAGAAAAATATATTATACTTTTGAGATAAATATCGATATTAAAATTTATATAAAATAAAATAATATAAACATTTTTATTCACTCGATCTATTAAGAAATCTCTTATATAAATTATTATTTTGTAACAATTTTTAGTTTATCTGCTACTTCGTTAAAAAATCTCTTTAATTAATAATAAGTTGGCATATCGTCTAAATTAATTTATAGTTTATATGTTACTTCGTTAAAACCCTCTTTAATTAATAATAAGTTGGCATATCGTCTAAATTAATTTATTTTTTAATAATACAAGTTTTAATTAAATTAAAGTAAAAAAACAATAAAATATTTTTTGTTTCTATTATATAAATTTACCCCAAAAGTAATTTTTTTCCATACTTGCGCTACCCACTTTATTTGAAAAATCTCTTTTCACTAATGCTATTTTGAAACCTAAATCCCTCTTCTATTTCTAAAATTCAGATAAGTCATTTGAGTATTTGAAAATGTTGAACCATGTATTTTAATATAACACTTTAGTGACAAAATATTTTTGAACTTGATTGAATTTGTTCAAAGTTTTCAAAAATAATTCAGAGTTCATTAAACAAGAATTTGAACAAAAACTTTTTTTTGATCAAGTAATATTGATATTGTTATTATAGTATCGACACTGCATGAAAAATATTGATATTGTTCTTAAGGTATCGATACCATAGGTAATAGAAATATCGATACTCTATTGTTAGTACCAATACTACTAGCTGTTTTTCAAGTTATTCAAATTCCAGCAAGAAAAATTAGTACAGATAATCTAGGAGTATCAATACTATTTTACACAGTAGTATTGATACTGTAAAACCCTAGTATCGATATTGGTCAAGCCCAACGGTCACCAACAACTAGTTTATTTAAATATTATAAAGGAAGTACCGATACTCCAAACCCGAGTATCGATACTCCATGTTTTGGGTTGTTTTGTTTTGCATAAATTTATTCCCCAATGGCTTCAAAATATCCCCTCCGGTTAGAAATAGGTACAAACTCATCCCAAATTATAAAAACAACACAAAAACACTTGAGAATGTTATAATACCTATCCAAAGAATAAAAATCAAAAGAAAAGCTCTTTCTCTCTTTATTTTCTATTTTTTTCTATTCTATATAAGTGTTTTTGAGTTTAAGTTTGTAAATACCTACATTTGTGAGGTTTTCTTGTTTACTTCATTATCCTTTTGTAAAAAGGGGAATGATTCTATCTTAGCCTTTGAAAAGATATGATTTTTATAAAGGTTACTATTAAGTCAAGAAAAAAAAGGAACAAATTAGTGAATTTGTTAAAAATCCTTAGCGTGGAGTTAAGGTAGTGGATACATACTTGGCTGATAAGTCGAACAATTATAAATCATTGTGCAAGTTTTTCTATCTTTTCTCCATTATACCCAAATTTTTTTCAAAAGACCAATTCACACCCTTTTGGCACTTTTTTGTTGATCACTAGAGCCTCTTTAAATCTAATAATTGGTATCAAAGTGAGTCTATCAACGGTTTAACTACCTTGAAATGATTCTTGAAGAAGCTCTATCCATTTCCATTCAACCAAGAAGATAAGTTCGATATTCGACTCATACTACCTAGAGGACTTTCACTGTTCACAAGGCATCCATACTTCAATGAAACAATCATCTTAGGGATGCAATCATCAATGAATCTTCAACTTCTCCAAGGAATTGATAGAAGTCTCCAATACCGATTCCCCATTATTGATTCCCCAAAAGTCCCCAGTAAAGCGACTCCGCCAATATACGACCACCGAGTTCTTCGATTCTGAGGATGATGATCCTATCATAGTATATCAATGTCTTAGAGAGACGATCCATACCCTGAAACAATTACTTTTCACCCCAGCGGATAACTTAGAGTGTGTCACCTCCCTACTCAAGGATGACACGATAGAGCGGTGGAATACTGTAGAGTTGGCGATAAAGCCAGAGAGGCCTACTTGAGAGCAATTCCTCACCCAATTCAGAGAGAAGTACATCAGACAGATCCATAACGATGAACTGATGGAGAAGTTTCTACACTTTACTCAGGTTGATTGCTTAGCGGTAGAATACGAGCGAGAGTTTCTCTGGCATAGCAAATATGTCATAAATCTGATCCCGACTGATGAACATCGTTGTTATTGGTTCAAAGAGAAAATTCAGGGTGACATTTTAACCCATATTACAGCAGATCCTCACAGAGTCTTTCTCAGCTGTCCCACTAGGAGAAAGCAGTTGAGATAGCCCTAGATAGGAAGAATAGACAGTCTAGTGAGGCTGCATGACAAGTCAGAAGAGCAGCTGAGTCGGCAAGGCCATCTCAGAATCCGGCCAAGAGAGTCAGTGTTCTTCGAGGACCCCAATATTGTAGTCCCCAAAGACTGGGTAGAGTTCGGGTCGTGGAGGTAGGTCTGACTCGAGGAGGAGGCCATTGAACTTTACTTGTGGGAGTATTGCTAGTGAGCCTACTGGAGGGTTCACCTTTACCCTATGTTCTAGGTGTGGAAAAAGGCACCCAAGGATATGTCGATTGGATATGGAGGTTGTTATAGTTATGACTCCTTGGGCCATTTCGCCAGAGTTTTCCCAAGAGCTAAGGCGCAACATCATTGGCGACTCAGCGATCGATACCATCAGTGTAGAGAGACTGAGGGCCAGCTAGATCAGAGGCTAGGGCCGAGCTGAGAGTGGCCTTCTGACAGTATGCAGTGCGAGCCAAGAAATATTGTGATGTGACATATGTTATATCAAGTACTTTTATGGTCTTTTTTTACCAGTTACCGCATTAATAGACCCATGTTCCACCTATTCCTACATATGCTCTGAATTAGTTCATAAAATAGAAATCCCGACATAGAACCTAGAGATAGGTGTTCGATTTTCTATCTCTCTAGGTTTAGACGTCTCGGTGGATAAAATTTTCATATGATGCCGAGTGAGGATTTAGGTTCAAACTTTCCCAGCGAACTTGATGGGGTTACCTTTTAGGGAGTTCGACATGATCTTAGGGATAGACTAGTTGACCGAGCACGATGCTAGTTTGAGGTGCAAAGCTATACGACTTAAGCTTATAACAGTTGATGGAACTAAGTTAGTGATGACTAGTGAGAGATCCTGCCAGACGAGGATATATTCAATTTTAAAAGCCCAAAGGATGATCGACTGTGGGTGTGAGGCCTTCTTGGCTCACGTGGTCGACACTTGAATTTTAGCACCTATACTCGGGGATATTCGAACAGTGTGACACTTTCCCGATATGTTCTCAGAGGAGTTGTCGGGTTTACCACCCGAGCCTGTTTTAGTGTTCAGAATTGAAGTAATTTCAGGTTCAATATCGGTGTCCATTACTCCTTATCGTACGAAACCGACTGAACTTAAGGAGTTAAAAACTCATATTTAGGAGTTACTAGGGAAGGGTTTCATTCGGATGGATATCTCTCCTTGGGTAGCACCGGTCTTTTCTGTCAAAAAGAAAGATGGGTCGATGAGGTTGTTCATCGACTACAAGAAGTTAAATAAGTTGACCATCAAGAACCGTTACCTACTCCCCAGGATAGACAACATCTTCGACTAGTTTAGAAGGGCATGTTTCTTCTCAAAGATTGATCTATGATCATGCTACTATCAGTTGAAAGTCAAGGATGAGGATGTGGAAAAGACAAATTTCATAATGAGGTATGGTCATTATAAGTTCTTAGTGATGTCGTTTGAATTCATCAATGCCCTGACAACATTCATAAACCTAATGAATTAAATTTTCCACCTATTCTTGGACCAGTTCATGGTGGTGTTTATAGGCGACATCCTAGTGTACTCCCGATCAAAGGATGAGAATAACCAACATGTTCGTGTTATTGTCTATACCTTTAGAGACACACAATTGTATGCCAAATTCAAGAAGTGCAAGTTTTGGCTATTGGAAGTGGCATTCTTGTGTCATGTCATTTTAGCCAACGACATCAGAGTCGACCCTCAGGAAATTTGGGCTATAGTTGAGTGAGAGCCTCTTAAGAATGTGTCAAAGGTACGCAGTTTTCTTGGGTTAACTGGTACTATCGTCGATTTGTTCAAGGTTTTTTGATGATAACAACCTCGTTAACCAAATTGCTTCAGAAGGGAGTTCCCTTTGTGTGGGATGAAAGGTGACATGAGAGCTTCGAGTAGTTAAAGGTCAACTTGACCCAAGCCCTATGTTGACCCAACCAGAGTCGGGTAAGGGCTTCATAGTTTTTAGCGATGCTTCTTTGAATGGGCTTAGATACGTCTTGATGCATCCCGTCAGGTTAAGCCTTATGATCATAATTACCCTACTCATGACCTTGAACAAGAAATAGTAATGTTCACTTTCAAGATTTGGCGGCACCATCTTTTTAGTGAGAAGTGACATATCTTTACCGATCACAAGAGCCTCAAGTATCTTCTCACTCAGAAGGAGTTGCTTAAGGACTACGACCGCATGATATATTATCATCCAGGAAAGGCAAATGTAGTGGCAGATGCCTTGAGTTAAAAATCAATGATTGAGTTGCAAGCCCTCATAGCACGTTTAAGTTTATCCAATGATGTTGGTTTGCTAGCCAAGTTATGAGTCGAGCCAGAGTTGGTAGGTGAAGTCAAGAGGCTACAGAGTTCAAATGACCGTTTGAGAAGTCAGATTGTTCAGGTTTTCCAGTTTGAGGCCTCAGGTCGTGAGCTTCAAAATAAAGGTTTGCTATACTTTAGAGGTCGGTTATACGTACTCGTAGATTCTCAGTTGTGCAGAAGGTTCTCCATGAAGCACGATACAGTCCACTCTTCATATACCTCTGCAGTAACAAGATATACCACGAGCTTCACAAATTATTCTATTGGTCGGCCATGAAAAGGAAAGTATCAAAGTTTGTCTCTAAATATCTAGTGTGTCAGCAGGTTAAGGTGGAACAACATGTTCCCTCATTTTGCTTCAGCCCATTCAGATACCTCAGTGGAAATAAGACGGGGTGACCATGGACTTTTTGACCGGGTTACCAATGACCAGAAAGAGACATGACGCAGTTTGGGTCATAATAGACCATTTCACCAAATCAGCGTATTTTCTCCCAATTAGGATGGACTATACCTTAGAGAGGTTAGCTCAGTTGTATATCAGTGAGATAGTGAGGTTGCACGGTGTACCGACTTTTATCATTTCAGATAGGGATCCTTGTTTCACTTCTCACTTCTAGGAAGATCTTTATGTGTCCCTAGGCACCCGACTACACTTCAGTACAAGTTTTCATCTTCATATAGATGGCCAGTCAGAACGAGTTATCCAAATTCTCGAAGACATATTCAGGTAAACTATCATCGATCTAAAGGGTAGTTTAGAAGACCACTTGACGTTAGCAGATTTTTCCTACAATAATAGTTTTTAGTCGAGAATTTAGATGGCTCCGTATGAGACCTTGCGTGGGCAGAAGTGTAGGACTCTGCTTTGTTGGAATGAGCTTAGTGAGGGTAAGATATTAGGCCCAGACTTAATTAGAGAGACCGAGGAAAAGGTTCGATTAATTCAGAACTGACTCAAGGAAGCTTCATACACACATAGTCTTACGTAGATTTAAAGCATAAGGATATCGAGTTTGTAGTTGGGGACAAGATATTCCTCAAGGTTTTCCATTGGAAGAAGGTACTCCACTTTGGGCACAAGGGCAAGTTGACTCTTCGTTTCATAGGACTTTACGAGGTGCTTAAGAGAATTGGACCAGTGGCTTAAGACTAGCTTTACCACCAGAGTTGGAGCACATTCACAATGTGTTACATGTATATATGCTTACAAAATACAGCTCTGACCCTTCGCACTTCATAACCTTAGAGCAGATTGAAGTCAGCTCAAATATGACTTATTCAGAAGAACCAGTTAGAATCTTGGCGAGTGAAGTGAAGGAGTTAAGGAACAAGAGAATTCTTTTGGTAAAAGTTCTATGGAGGAACCATGGTATTGAGGAAGCGACGTGGGAAATAGAGGAGGACATGAAGCTTCAGTATCCTCACCTCTTTTACGAAGGTAAATTTTGAGGAAATTTTTTTATTTAGGATAAGAGAGTTGTAACACCCCTAATCTCAGGTTAGAAGTATTGGGCTAACCCGAGATATGCCTTGGTTTAATTTCTTATCTTATAGTAAACCTTGACCTAAATTGAAGATGATATGGTCTTGAGTTGAGCCCAATAGTGAAATAAAAATGATATTTTTAATCTGTAGTCAGAATTAAAGGACCAAAGATGTAATTTTACCATTGTTCAAAATTAAGGTTGAAATCCTTAATTGCTTGGCGATATCACATCTGATACACCCTCTTTTTCTCAACATTCCTTTGTCTCATCTTCCTCTTCAAATCTTCATCTTCATAGCACTTTCTTCCTCTCCAAGAACCAAGAAAAGGTAGAAACTTGGTAGTCTTATAACCCTAGTTCAACAACCTAAAGGTAAGAATCATGATCTTTATATCACGCTCTCAAGACACCCATTTCACCATAGTTGAAAAAAATAAGTTTCGAAGGGTTTTAGAAACTAGATGGTTCAAACCCATTTCACAGATATTTCCAGCCTTATGAAGTGTTTTAAAACCCTCCTTAATCTTTACCAATAGTTAGTAACTCTTTCATTTGGTTTTGTTTAGTGCGAGAGGTTAGAGAAGGCTCCAAAGCTAAGGGGAATGAAAAGCTTACTTTGGGTTGAGCCTTTGATGTTTCCAGCAATATAGCATCAAAGGTAACTCAATCTTGTCTCAACTATACCATATATAAGTCTTTTGGATGAAATGTAGTAGATTTTATGTTTTAGAGTTATAAACATGTCTAAAGCCCTATTGTTGCTCCTTTATATCTTTATAAAACATTAATAATGTTTGGCGACCTCACTAAGGTCTTTGGGATAGTAGAATAGGAGTTTTGCACTTATTTTATGCTCTCTGCAGGTTGAGTTTTGATACTTGAGAGATAGTATCAAAACTTGTTCTTCTTCTCGGGCAAACTCATGAGTTTTGGGCAAGAGTATCGATACTCTTCCAAGGGTAACGATATTTTGGGTCATAGTTTCGAAACTCCTAGAAAGTTTCAAAACTATGCATAACAGAATGTTTAAAAGTATCGATACTTATATAAAGTATCAAAACTTTTCAGGAGTATCGATACTCTTGGGATAATATCGATACTTTTAGTCTGTTTTGGACAAAAAAGGCCAGTTTTTAAGGGAATTAGACTCAAAGTACCCCAATACTTCAGTATATCCTCAAATAATACTTCAAGCGAGAACAATAATTAATATCAAAACAATAGAAACATAAATAGGTAGGTTTACATAAAACTAGCCTTGGTTGACGCTCGGGAAACAATCAGGACACCCAAGTTTCTTTTAGCGGAAATATATCAGTCATTGGATCCAAGTCAGTGCCACGACACTATATCAGTCGACTGGGCGCAGATGCCACAAGACTTGACGGAGTAAGTCGCGGGTGTACATTTCGATGCAGAATTCTGGATCTCACCCAAAAGTACCTGATGGTGATTCAGTAGTGTTAGAAGGGCGCGTGAGCTTCGAGATGCAGAATCCTTTAGTCGCACCATGATGCCAGCCACAGATTAGTAGTTCATTAGTTGTATACTCATAACTGTGCCACTAGTCATTTCATATAGTGAATGTATATAGTATAGTACAATTTTAAGTGAGAACTAAACTCATAAGCTCAACATTCGAAAATGTGTTTCTGTGAACAGGTCCTTAGGGGCAGATTATGGGGAGCTATCATCATCAGATATTCCAGTACAGTATAGTAGATTTCCAAAGACCTCTCAGCATACATCTTGAGTCATCTTTAGAGGGCATGTACTGTTATGGACCTTGTTAAGTATTCAGTCATAACTCTTTTGAAACTTAATATTTTGTATTATTTTGCGAATGTATTTTTGGAGCTCCCTATTATTTGTAAACCTAGTTTATTATTATGGTTTATTATTACATTATGAATGTATAAAGTTTAGAGAATTACAAGCAGTTTTAAAAGAAAATTTTGGATCACTATTTTGGTAATCCCGTGTAACATTGTAATCTATGGATCTTCGGGTATAACTAGATTAGGGTGTTACACGACTGATAACTGTTATTATAAGAAAACTCTGCTAAAGGTAAATACTTTTCTCATGATCCTTTGAAATCAATAACATACACCCTTAACATGTCTTCAAGTATCTGAATGGTTCATTCAAATTGATCATCCGTGTGAGGATGCTAAGTTGTACCGAAGTTCAGTTGAGTTCACAATGCTTCATGCAAAGACTTCCAAAATCTCTAAGTAAATCTGGGATCTTTGTCAGAAACTATCGAGAAAGGTACACCATGAAGTCGTACTATCTCTCTGATAAATAATTCAACATACTTATCTATCCAGTAATCCTCTCGGACTGGAATAAAGTGTGATGTCTTAGTCAATCTATAAACAATCACCCAGATCGAGTCTTTCTTATTGGTTGTCAAAGGTAAACATGTCACAAAATTTCTCATTTCCACTTAGGAATGAAAATAGGTTGTAATAAACCTGATGGCACCTGATGCTCTACTTTTACCTACTGTCAGGTCAAACATTTAGCTACAAACTCAGTTATAGCTATTTTCATACCTGACCACTAATATTGGTTCTTTAAATCTTGATACATTTTATTTCCTCCGGGATGAATAGTTAAATGACTATAATGAGCTTCAAAAATAATATTTCTTTAATTCTTCATTAACGGGTATGCAAACTCGTCCCCGATAATATAAACATTCCTCATACTTAACTTTAAAGTCTTTCGTTTCACCTTTCTTCACTTGTTCGATTCTTTCTAAACACTTTTTATCTTTACTTTGAAGATCTTTGATTTGATCTAATAGGGAAGGCTTCAATCTCAATTCAGTCACAAGTGCACCATCTTTTTTTCATTGCTAATTTAGCATCTATAGGTCTCAAGGCGGAGAATATCTTTCAGCTAAGTGCATCAGTTACCACATTAGCCTTCCCAGGGTGATAATCAATAATCACATCATAGTCCTTTAGAAGCTCGATCCATCTCTTTTGCCTTAGATTTAAATCTTTTTGAGTGAGAAAATACTTCAAAATTTTATGATATGTATAAATATAACATCGTTCACCATATAGGTAATTCCACCAAATCTTCAGAGAAAACACCATCGCTACTATTTCTAAATCATAAATCGGATAATTTTGTTTATGTGTCTTTAATTGTCTCGAGGCATAAGCTACCATTTTACCTTCTTGCATCAGAACACATCTCAACCCCTTATAAGATGCATCACTGTAAATTATATAGTCTTAACCTGACTCTGGATAAACCATAACTGATGCCTTTGTTAAAATATTTTTAAGCCTTTCAAAGTTTTTTTGCACTTATCAGTCCAAATAAATGGTACGTTTTTCCTGAGCAGCTTAGTAAGCAGAGAGCCAATCATCGAAAAATTCTTCACGAATATTCGATAATAGCCAACTAATCCTAAGAAACTACGAACTTCAGAAATATTCTTTAGAGTTTTCCACTACACTATTGCTTGTAGTTTCTTTGGATCTACTTTGATTCCTTCTGCTGAAATCACGTGGCCAAGAAAAGTAACTTCTGGCAGCCAGAACTCGCATTTCGATAATTTGGCATACAAATTTTTCTCCATAGTGTAAAGATGTGCATTGTGATTCTCTTTGGTCTTAGAATAAACCAGAATATCATCAATGAACACGACCATAATTTGATCCAAATATGGCTAAAACACCAGATTCATTAAGCCCATAAATGCTATTGGAGCATTAGTTAATCCAAATGGCATCACTACAAACTCATAGGATCATATTGGGTTGTAAAAGACGTCTTCGAAATATCTTATTCTTTAATCTTCAATTGATGATATCCAAACTGAAGATCAATTTTTGAAAATTCTGAAGAAACCTTGACCTGATCAAACAAATCATCGATCCTTGGTAAAGGATACTTGTTCTTCACTTTCACTTTATTCGACTGACGATAATCTATACATAATCACATTGATCCATATTTGTTTCTAACAAACAATATCAGTGCATCCCACGGGGATACACTCGGTTTGATGAACCCACGATCAAGTAGCTCCTGTAATTGTGCCTTAAGCTCTATGAGTTTTGTTGGATCCATCTTATATAGAGCCATTGAGATAGAAACAGTACCCATACAAACATCAATCTTAGACTCTACTCATGATTAGGAGGTAATCCGGGTAATTCATCAGGAAAAACATCTAGAAATTCCCAAACGATTGGAATATCCTCCAGTCAAACTTAAGATGCACGGGTATCAATCACAATTGCCAAGAAATTTGTACAACCTTTTATCATCATTTTCATTGTTGTCATTGTTGGTATTATGTTGGGTATTGATTTCGTTTTTTCGCAAATTACTATTATTTCATTACCCACATCATTTTTTAAAAAATAACCGCTTCATACGACAATCAACCCAATCATAATACGGAGATAACCAATTCATGCCTAATATAATCTCAAACTCATCAAATGGCAATTCCATAAGATTCATTGGGAACACAACCACTTGAATCTTTATCGGGCAATTTCTGTTAATCTATTTTACTCAAGCACTATGACCCAACGAATTTATAGTTATCAAGTCACTATCAATAGGTTCTAATGGAATATTTCTTTTTTAACTAATTTCAAGCTAACATAGGAATGTGAAGAACCCGAATCTATCAAAACAAATACAAGCTCATCATGATTAGGAGGTAATCCGGGTAATTCATCAGGAAAAACATCTAGAAATTCTCAAACGATTGGAATATCCTCCAGTCAAACTTCAGATGCTCGGGTATCAATCACATTTGCCAAGAAATTTGTGCAGCCTTTTGTCATCATTTTCATTATTGTCATTGTTGGTATTACGTTGGGTATTGATTTCGTTTTTTCGCAAATTACTATTATTTCATTACCCACATCATTTTTTAAAAAATAAACGCTTCATACGACAATCAACCCAATCATAATACGGAGATAACCAATTCATACCCATTATAATCTCAAACTCATCAAATGGTAATTCCATAAGATTCATCGGGAACACAACCCCTTGAATCTTTATCGGGCAATTTCTGTTAATATGTTTTACTCAAGCACTATGACCCAACGGATTTATAATTACCAAGTCACTATTAATAGGTTCTAATGGAATATTTTTTTGACTAATTTCAAGCTAACATAGGAATGTGAAAAACTCGGATCTATCAAAACAAATACAGGCTCATCATAAAGATGGAAATACCTGTTATAATCTCAGGGTTATCGTGATCTTCTGAAGTCTTGATGTGGTAAATTTTGGCTGGATATATACATTAGACTAGGTGTTTGTCTCAGAATACCCCATCCCTCTACCTCTACCTCAACCACCTCTCTGAGACCCTACTACAAACCTCTCTGTCTGCACTGATTTTTCTCTTGTTTACAGACAATATCTGACAAAGTAACCAATGTTTCTGCAACGAAAACATGCTCAAGAAATAATTCTACAAACTCCAGGGCGAGTTTACCGCAATGCGAACATGGTAACATTTGACCCTATGATGGAGTTGATCTACCAACTCTTGAGGTAGTCGTCTGAGTCTATCAACTTTAATCTTTTCCTTCAATTCCTTTACGACTAGAAGTACCACTTTCTGATTTATTATGATATTGATAACCAGTACCTCAACCTCTTTTACACAGAGATAAAGATGATGCTCATGCTCTCTTCGACTGTCGTCTCCACTTAATCATAAAATTTTCATTTTATGTCCATCTATAAGTTATTTGCTTTATTTACCACTTCCTGAAAAGTGGTTAAATTCGCAGTCAACAAAAGTTCTCTCAGACTGGGGCGAATGCCTCGATAAACTTCTGGTATATATCTCTTTAGGTGGAACCATCTCTTAGGCATATCGAGCAAGATTATTAAACTCGACCTCGTACTCATACACATATTTACTACCCTGAATCATATTAAAGAAATCATGCTTCATCTGTGTAATAAACTCCTCCCTGATATATGTAATATCCCAAAATCAGGGTTAGTGATCAAAATAGAAGTTTTGAAACTTTGAGGTATGATTTCAAAAGATTGAAAAGTTTAGGGACTTATTTGGAAATAATTTGTGAAGGATTGTTAGTAAATATTAAATAAAGTAAAGGGTAAATTGGTCTTTTCATAAGAAAGAATTTTATCTTTCTTTTACGAGATATATAACACGTGGAATGGGTAGGAAAAGGGAAGATTTTCTCCAGAAAACTCTTCTTCTTCTTCTCCAGCAGTGAGTGACCATAGCTAAGGTAAGTTGGTCTTAAGTTGGTTAATTCTTTCGTTTTAAAGTTGGTTTTGATTCTTGGAGTGATAGAAAAGCTTAAGGAAAGCTTAAGATTGCTTAAAACTCAAAGAGGATTAAGTTATGTAATATTGAAGGTAAAGAGATTTTAAGGGAATTATTGAGATAGAGTTAGTAAATAAGTTTTAAAGTGAAATTTGACTTGTCAATGATAAAACTAAGAAATTCAGAGTATTAGAAACAAATTTAAAACATGTTGATTTATTAGCTTGATTATTGAACTCAAGTATAATAGTTACATATGGGATGTTATGATGTGTTGAAGTGAAATAAGTTAATTTCTGTATGTGTGGTTAAGTTTAAAGGCATGAAAGAAGAGTAAAATAAGGAATTTGTTGGTAATGGATGATTTTCGACTTTAAGGAATGGATTCTCGGTTGGTAGTATCGGTACTGGTTGAAGGAGTACCGATACTACAAGGCAAATTATGAGGAACTTATGGATGGGGTATCGGTACCTGTATGAACAATATCGATACCAATATGGAGGGTATCAATACCATGAAACATCGAAGCTAATTTTGGTATCGATACCGGGATAGTGTATTGGTACCCTAGTATTGAAGTATTGGTATTATGCTGGTAGTACCGATACTACTTAAGCTGAGAAGTGGAAATTAGTGCTTTATTTAGTTGCGTCAATAAGAATCTTTTCAAGTAATTCGAATCCCGATATTTATTAGATTGTGTATTGTGTAGATAACAATCGAGAGTAAAGTCCAGACAAACCGACCAAGTAATAGTCCTCGAGGAAGGGATAAGGGATCGACATTGACTAGTGACGCCAGGTGAGTGTATACTAGTTATTATGTGAAGTGTGATGGAAATAAGACTTGTGATAAGTCTATTTTCCATATTAAAGATTATGAATATGAGTGTATGTGTCATATTTATTGTACGAGTTACATGATAGATTATGTATGTTAAATGAGTTATATGGATGCATGTTGGTATGGAAAATTATGTTAAATGATATAATTACATCATGTGATTGTGTGAGAAAGGATGTGAACTATATGAAAATATTAGCTACGTGATAAGAAGTATATGATTAAACAATCAAGAGTATAAGCTATGTGATATGTGATTATATGAAAATGATCTACATGTAAGTGAACAATGTGTCTACGTGACTATATGATTATATGAAAATGTGATAATGAGCTATATTAAAGAACTATGAGATTATGTGCCTATGTGAATGTGTGATAACATAAATAATAATGTCCATGTTATGTGTTATGAGAGCTAGGGGTATAGTTGGCATGCCAAGGGTCGAGGGTTCTACGTGGTCCTTTGGGACATATATGTAATCCTTTGGAACATATATGTGGTACTTCGGTACATTTATTTGGTCCATTGGAATATGTATATGGTTCTTAAGGAGTGGTCCTTCGGGACATATATGATATGTGGTCCTTCGGGACATATTGGTCATTCGGGACAAATTTTAAGTGCCCATAGTGGGAATTATACGACCTGTGGTGACAACATTAGTGCACAACCTCTATGTACTCGTATATCTTTAGTTCTCACATGTGTACATAGGCTAACAAAGAGATAACAATAAACATATTATATGTGTGTTATGAATTGTATTACATGATTTCTATGATGATGTGTGTAGTGTTTGGTTAAATGAGTCATATGTTGGTTAAAAATGTTAAGTTCAAGGGGATATGATTAAAAGATATAAATGATAATAATATTGATAGTGAAATAAGGTTAATGATGGAAATGATGGGTGGTGTGTATATATATATTTGATTATATGAAAGGTTATTTATATATAATATTGGTGATTCTATGTGATGTTATAGTATGATATATTCTTGCATTGTCAAGTATTTAGAGTTTCAATGATATGTTTTTATGCCTCACTAAGTCATCGAATTAGCGTGTGTGTGTTTCACACATAGGTTCCGAGAAGATGAGAAGGGATTGAAGACAGGCGAGACAGGTCAACTCCTCCTTTCCAAGAATCAGATCAGAAAGTAATTGAATCATATGTATTTTGTAATACTGATGTTAGTCAGCATGTGAATAAAGATTTGGTTCAAGTATGCTCTGATAGGTTTTGTAAAACCATATGTTTTATATAATAGAAATTATTCTATTTTATTATAAATGACAAATTGTATTTTTAGATGTTTTATAAAAGTAAACGATTTGAGAAGACAATGTGACACCTCGAACTCAGATCCGGGCTAGATATGGGTTGGGGGTGTTACATTTAATGGTATCAGAGCTAAGGTATAGCCAATTCTAGTCTTAAACCGAAGTTAAATGAGTTTTGAAATTTGTATGTGCCAACACAAATTGAAAATTTCTGATCTGATAGTGTAAGGAGTATGTTGTCTTGCTAATAGAATCAAATTAGTATAAGGTAGTAGAAATTTGATTATAAGAATTGTCGAAGTGAATTGATAAGTGATAAACCTTATGGTGGTAGCAATTCACCTGCCCTGGCCAGGCAGGATGAAGAGCGGACACCTCAGGAAGTGTCTTGTAGGATCAAGGGTTGATTTCAGAAAGTTGAAAATATGTTAGGATAATGTTAAAGGGGTCTCCACTGTTTTAAAGTGAGGAAGTTAGATAAGTAGTTTGTTATTATGCGGATAAGTTGATGTATAGTGAACATATGTTATCATGAGAATAATAGAAGATTCAGTGATGTGGTTACTAGTTTGGAAAAATTCAATAATAAGTATCTCAGTGATAAGTTTATCAGTAATATGAAGACATAGTTTAGGAGTTTGAAACAGGAGAATCGTAATGTGTATGAATGAGAGTGTAGTTTGATAAGTTGAGTGAAGAGTAGTCAGCTAATTTGAATGAAAATGATGTAGATGTGGTTCAGAAGAGTTTAAGAATGGATACATCAGTGATCAGTTTGTAAGATAAAAGAAGTTGGAATGTTGAGTTGAATTAAGGAAAATGTATTGTGTATGAGTAAGAATGTGGGTTTGATAAGTTAAGTAAATTATTGGTGGATTAATTCCGACTGGAAAAAAAATGTATATGAATGATTCGATGAAAGTTTACGCTCTAGATTAGAAGTATTGTTGATGGCTAACCAAATTATGTGATAGTAAGTGTATTAGAGTTAAAGGATTAGAAGATGATGTCAGGGTAACCTAACCAAGTATGATGTGGATTTGGATATGGTGGTGTATTATGAGTATGGAAATATAAGGTAGTAAAGGAGATAAGGATTCATATGTTTGAGGGAAATCTAATTACAAGAGTGTGAGAGTAGGAAAGAAAGGATATGGTTTAGTTATGTTATAAGAAGATCTTGATCATGAAAGGATAAATGAATAAAGAAATGAAAAGGATGAAGTTTAAAGGATCAGATATGATAAAGATTATGTGACGTATAGATCATAAGTTGACTAGAAGTAAGAAAGGTACGTCAGGTGATATGAAAGATTGTTTGATTCTACATAGTGTATGTTTTAATCATCTATGATGAAGATTTAAGGCTATGTTTCTTGGTCAAGTAGACGTAGTCAGAGAAATAAAGAATGATTTATATGCATTAAGGAAGTTTAAGAGGTAGTCAGGTGATGATGGAATAAAAGTTTGGTTATTATTGCAAGTCAATTAGAGATTAATGAAGGAAATCAACATGATATGGATTTTCAAAGGTTAAAAGTAAGTATACAATCGAAGGAGAGAAAAGATAGAAATGGATTGGGTTCTTTGGAAATTAAAGACAAGTTATTAAGAGTAACGGCGAAAAATTAAAGTAGTAAAGCAATATAAGAAAATATAAAGATATATATAGATAATGTTTCTATCGATATGTGCAGTGAAAATTCGAGGAAAAATTTTCTTAAAGGAGGGGAGATTTTTAACATCCCAAAATCAGGGCTAGTGATCAAAATAGAAGTTTTAAAACTTTAAGATATGATTTCACAAGATTGAAAAGTTTAGGGACTTATTTGGAAATAATTTGTGGAGGATTGTTAGTAAATATTAAATAAAGTAAAGGGTAAATTGGTCTTTTCACAAGAAAGATTTTTTATCTTTCTTTTATGGGATATATAACACGTGAAATATGTAGGAAAATGGGAGATTTTCTCCAGAAAAATCCTCTTCTTCTTCTTCTTCTCCAGCCGTGAGTGACCATAGCTAAGGTAAGTTGGTCTCAAGTTGGTTAATTCTTTCGTTTCAAAATTGCTTTTGATTCTTAGAGTGATAGAAAAGCTTAAGGAAAGCTTAAGATTGCTTAAAACTCAAAGAGGATTAAGTTATGTAAGATTAAAGGTAAAGAGTTTTTAAGGGAATTATTGAGATAGAGTTAGTAAATAAGTTTTAAAGTGAAATTTGACTTGTCAAGGATCTAACTAAGAAATTCGGAGTGTTAGAAATGAATTTAGAACATGTTGATTTATTAACTTTATTATTGAACTCAAGTATAATAGTTACATATGGGATGTTATGATGAGTTAAAGTGAAATAAGTTAATTTGTGTATATGTGTGATTAAGTTTAAAGGCATGAAAGAAGAGTAAAATAAGGAATTTGGCTGGGTAATGGATGATTTTCGGGTTTAAGGAATGGATTATGGGTTGGTAATATCGGTATTGGTTACAAGGCAAATTATGAGGAAATTACACTTGGGGTATCGGTACCTGTATGAACAGTATCGATACCATAAGGAAGGAGTATCGATACCAATGTGGAGGGTATGATACCATGGAACATCAAAACTAATTTTGGTATTGATACCAGGGTAGGGTATCAGTACCCTAGTATTGAAGTATCGGTACTGTGTTGGTAGTACCGATACTACTTAAGCTGAGAAGTGGAAGTTAGTGCTTTATTTAGTTGCGTCGATAAGAATCTTTTCAAGTAATTTGAATCCCGATATTTATTGGATTGTGTATTGTGTAGATATCGATCGAGAGCAAAGTCCGA